TCCCTAGACTAAAATAAACTTTGAGTACACCAATTAATGAGCAGGAGAAAATTGACTGGAGGGACAAGATGACCATAAAAACGTTTCCATGTTTGTTTTCTAAAATTATATTTCCATGTTCCACTGAGAATCCAACTGTGAATACAGGGTTTAGGTCTACAGATAGGCAATTATGCAACTGTGCAGAATATTTAAATAGTTTCTTCTATTTGTGTATGCCATTACATGCTGATGGCACCGTACTGTGTAACCAAAGTTCAGACTTTAAAACTTGACTATATTTTCTAGTGAGGATTTGCTGTTGAGAGAGATGCTTAAGGTGATTGAGCATTTGGTGTCTCCTCAGTGACAACTGACAGCTGCTCTATAGCCCAGCCATCAAGCAGACAATGACTTCTTTACATTACATATTTTGTTAATATTCGGACCATATCAATTTACATGAATTTAAAATCAATTTGCCTTCAGAATGACTACTTTTAACCAGTGTGCTGAAGCACACTGGTGTGTGGCAAGAATTTTTAAAACATGGAATACTTGACTATTTAGTCAGGGGCACTGACCTCTTCTCCCTTAGATTATTAAATAAAAAAATGACAACAGCCAATACATCAATAGCTGTCCAGTGTGAATGAATTAAAATTATATCTATTTTTTGTCAGACTGGCAAAAATATATATTTTTTTGGTGTGCTGTAAAATTTTAGTAATTAATTTATGTGTGCCATGAGATGAAAAAGGTTGAAAATCACTGCCCTGAACATACAGTGGAGTAAAGTCTATTCAATAAATGGTGTTGGGAATGTTGGACAGATATATGTAAAAAAAAAAAAAAGAAAGAAAGAAAAATAAAAAGAAATTAGACCATCTTATATCATACACAAGAATAAACTAAAAATAAATTAAAGACTTAAAGGTAAGACTAGAAACCATAAAACTAGAAGAAAACAAATTTCTTTTAGCAATATTTTTTTCTGACATATCTGCTTGGGCAAAGGGAAACAAACAACAACAACAAAACAAAGTTTTTTTACAATATCAAACTACAAAGTTTTATACAGTAAAGGAAACCATCAGCAAAACTAAAAGACAATCTACTGAATAGGAAAACATCTTCACCAATGGTATATCTGATAAGGGGTTAATATCCAACATTTATAAAGAACTCATACAATTAAAAACCAAAAAACCCCCCAAACAATCCAATTAAAAAGTGGGTAGAGAACATGCATAAACACTTCTCCAAAGAGGACATACAGATGGCCAATATGAAAAGATGCTCAATCATCAGAGACATGCTAATTAAAATCATGATGAGATATCACCTCACACCTGTCAGAACAACTATCTTCAATAAATCAACAAACAGCAAGTGTTGGTGAGGTTATGGAGACAAGGGAACCCTCATGCACTGTTGGTGGGAATGTAGATTGGTGCAACCACTGTGGAAAACAGTATGGAGGTTCCTCAAAATATTAAAAATGGAGTTGCCCTACGACCCAGCGATTCCACTTCTGGGTACCTATCTGAAGAAACCGAGAACACGAATTCTAAAGAATATATGCACTCCTATGTTTATTGCAGTGTTATTTACAATTGCTAAAATACGGAAGCAACCCAAGTGCCCAGCAATAGACAAGTGAATAAAAATGCAGTGGTATATATATGCAGTGAAATATTACTTGAGCCATAAAAAGAATGACATCATACCATTTGCAACAGCATGGAAGGATCTAGAGGGTACTAAGGTAGTGAAATAAGTTAGAGAAAAACAAATACCATATGATTTCACTTGTATTTGGAATATAAAGAACAAATAAACAAACAAAATAGAAACAGACTCATAGCTAGAGAACAGAGTGATGGTGGCTGGAGGGGTGGGGGTTGGGGGACTGGTTGAAAAAGGTGAAGGGATTAAGAAGTACAAATTGGTAGTTGCAAAATAGTGACTGGTTGTAAAGCACAGCATAGGGAATATAGTCAACAATATTGTAATAACTATGTATGGTGCCAGGTGGGTACTGGAAATATTGGGGAACCATTTTGTAAAGTATAGGATTGTCTACCACTATGCTTTACCCATGAATATAATACAAAATATTACTGAGTGTAAACTGTTATTGCAAAATAAAAATAAAAATAAATAAAGGCATTTTAAAAAGTATATTTTCAGATATGGTGCAGTATAGTAAAATAGTAATACTCTAAAGTGCTGATGAAAATGTAAGCTGTATACCAATTCAGGAAGCAAATTGGCAATGTAACAAGGGCCTCAAATATGCTAAACTACATGCCTGGAGCCACTAATTATACTTCTAAAACTATATTCTAAGTGAATAACTAAATAAAAATGCAAAGATTTAGCTATGAAGATATTTATCCCAATGTTATTTATAACTCTAGATGATTAGGATTATAGGTATTTGTTGACTTATCTTTTAAATAAAACTATTATTTTTGAATTGAGAAAAAGATTTGTATTTAATATATAAGTAGTTATAAAACAATATAATAAAAATAAAATTGAAAGTCAAAATCTTTGAAGGTGGGAGGGAAAAATACCAATTTGCTTCCAGAAAATGAACAAGGGAACATTTCCCATGCAATTATTCCATGTGCTTAGAGAAACACAGTATTCATACGAAAGACTAAGTCACATTTTGTTTAATGTCAGGGTACATAGCCATGAATTGGTTCATGGATTTGCCAGTGCCCAAATCTGACTCTGTTCTCCTCAAGTTTGAGTATAAAGCAGGGTCCCATCAGCTCTTTATATAAGTTCTCCGAATTCCTTTCATGGATTTATAAAAGCTGATTTCTGACACTAATTTTATGGAAACAGAGAACTGCTTCTTTATAATCAGCACTTCTTATACAGTAAAGATGATTTGGTTGGATCAGTCCCTCTGATATGTTCTTTTTCTCAATGTTAAATGAAAAGTTCTAGATTAAAGTGATAATTTCTTTTATTGGAAAACTTTACCTTCCTTCCAAATGTGTGTTCTACACTCAACTTTCTACTCTTAGACTACATTTTCATCATGTCTTGGTCATTTTGTGTCCTGATGGAAGACTTGTTTTTTTTCCTGGATGTTTTTACATGGCATTTTTGTTATTGCTGTATTTGCCTCTGTGTGCAAATATGTGTGTCAAATTCTTTGTTTCCCTGAATAAGGACTTAAAGATTAAGAACTACCGAGTCCTTCAAATCTCAATGCAAATTTGGCTGTCTTTTTATTCATCTTATATTAAGGTCAAGATATTAGGTTTGCAACAAAATACCCAAATGAACTTTTATTTTATTTTAAAAGTTGGGGTAAAACAATGTGTTGCTTACAATTTTTGTATCTAATTTCAGTACTTCGTGGAGCCTCAGTATTTCTGGTGCCACGAGGACACCTGAAGGCTGAGGAATCACTGTCTGTTGCACACCCTGTCCTTACACAGCTATAAATAACACTTTCAAAGCTCTGGCTTTGTATTCTCATCTATTACTTTTCAAATATCCATGGGTTTCATATTTCCATATTCCCTGTCAAAAGTCTCAAGTTCATTCAAAGCAAGTGGCCTCAACCAATCAGAACAGGCAACCATGAGGAGCAGGGTCTGGGGGGGCTAACTGAGGAAAGACCTGAGGAGGTCCTGGGGGAGGGGTCTGAGCGGCTGTGGTGGGAAAGAGGACGTCTCTGAGTGGGACTAGATGAAACCAACCAATACAGAAGTATACTGTGTTTCAGACAATCTAAGAAGGCATCGATGGTAAGATAAACCAATATTTTATGTACCACTAAAAAAATTCCACCAATTAAATTGACATATTTTTTTCTCATTATTTAGAATTTTATGCCATTCCATTGAAAGAGCTCTTTTAGAAATGCAGAAATGTAATTTTAAAAATAATATGTCATATGCATTCATTTAAAAAAGGAAAACAAATTGGTTAAAGTATATTTGTAAAATTTCTTTACATTAAGAATCCCAATCTTCTGAATCACTTTCAACATAGTTATCAAATTTTCATATTTTCTCACATCCTCCTCTGTGTCACCCGAAGCATGAATTATATAACATTTTTATTAAAACTTGTGTACAAAGTGACAACTACATCACAACTTATATCAGTAATTGTAGAATACAGCCCTATTTCAGAAATGATCAAATGTAAGCAAAAATGTTTTTAGAATTGATAAGATATGGTAAATTCAATATGTTTAATAGATTGTATGACTAAACTGGTCTGCTGATTATTAGCCTTATGTACATATTCATTATATTTGGTATTTGCATAATTCATTGTATGTGAGAATATCAGAATATTTCTCAAATATTAATAGTGCATGTTCCATTTATAATTTTTTAAAACCTATAAGTGATATTATGTCCATTTCAGAAGTTTGACAAATATTAAAATTTTATTAGTTAGCTGCCAAGAACCAGAATGAATACTGCAAAATCAAGAGAAGTTATATCTAATTTATGAATTAATTCTGTGAGTGTAATTCTGATCATCTGACTTGATATGAGTAAATCAGAAAAAAAATCCAAAATTGAAGACAGTGTAATAAACTATAACTTAAAAAAAGAGAGAACTGTTGTTGCAAAAACCAATAAAATAGCACATAGAAGGTTTTTTTTTTAAGCAACGAGAAGAAAATTTGAGACTTACTGGATCAAAAAGATGTGTAAGGTCATAAAACTAAGGGGATCAATTAATGAAAGAGTTTAATATGAAGTCAGAGTTCCAAGAAATTTTTGAATGAGACAAAAATTCAAAGTTTTAAAATATCAATATTCAAGTCTATGTTAGGATTAAGAAAAAGCAGCACTGCTACAGAATATTGAATCAGTACTAGAAAGTGCAGAGATAAGCATGTCATGGAATGTAGAGAAAGAGAAAGAGGGGTAATAGCCCTGACTGTGGCTCTGGATGCTCTCTGGGGTCTCACCTCCGCGTGGTACACAGTGTCCAGGCGGCGAGGAGCCTGACTTAAAATATCTCCGATGGCTAACAAAGCTCACCCTTGTCCCTGTGACACTGGCCACCAGATGGAGTATGGAGGCATGGGGCGTGAGGTTCAAGTTGAGCATATCAAGGCTTATGTCACTAGATCCCCCGTTGATGTTGGCAAAGCTGTGATTGTCATTCAAGATATATTTGGCTGGCAGTTGCCCAATACCTGATATATGGCTGACATGATTGCAGGAAATGGATACACCACCATCGTTCCAGATTTCTTTGTAGGGCAGAGGCCATGGCACCCCTCTGGGGACTGGTCCACCTTTCCGGAGTGGATAAAAACAAGAAATGCCAGAAAGATCGATAAAGGGGTTGATGCTGTCCTGAGGTATCTGAAGCAACATTGTCATGCCCAGAAAACTGGCATCGTGGGATTCTGCTGGGGAGGAGTTGCTGTCCATCACATTATGATGAAGTACCCAGAAATCAGGGCAGGAGTGTCCCTCTATGGCATCGTGAAGGATTCTGAAGACGTGCACAGTTTGAAGAACCCTATGCTGTTCATTTTTGCAGAAAACGATGTTGTGATTCCTCTTAAGCAAGTCTCTTCGCTGACCCAGAAGTTGGAAGAACACTGCAGAGTGGAATATCAAATTAAAACATTTTCCGGACAAACTCATGGGTTTGTGCATCAAAAGAGAGAAGATTGTTCACCTGAAGACAAGCCCTATATTGACGAAGCAAGAAGGAATTTACTCGAATGGCTGAACAAGTATGTTTAGCAGTGGCCAGTGCAAAGTTTTCTCAAGATAGTTTTTGTCCAGAAATTGGCTTTGAAATACATAGATCATTTCATTTAATTTCCACTTTGGAATCCTGAAATTCATTATTTCATCTGAAACACAGATTCAGTAGGAAATGTTAATGTGTGAAATAGTTTAATTTTTAATATGTACCTAAATAAAAAATTTAAAAATATGTGTACCTGAAGAATTAGACTGACAGAGTTATATCCACTATTAATAAACACCTGGGACCAGCTAACATCTCAGGTGTGGCCTTTCTGGTCTTTAATGGAGGACGTCTCTTAAAATGACTAATGTTGCAAAGCCATGAAAACATGAACTGTAAACTCAGGTAGATTAAAAGCCCAGTTTAATTAGATGTTTATCTTTGTCTTAATATAGATGAATTTCATGTTCATATATTGCACTATGAGAAAGAGATTAAAATAGGGTTCCATGGGCCTAATTACATCAAGCTAATACCTTTTGAGTTTTTTAATTTGTGGGTTTACCTAAAAGCTAATTAAAAAATGATAGATTGGAGTTACCATCAAAAAAAAAAAAGAGGATAAATAAAAAGAGATAAAGATGATTGAGATCTATGGGTATTCTGGGAAATAAACCAGAAGACATGCAATAATCAACTATATAAATGAAGAAAACTTGACTGCCTTGAAGAAAATACAAGTTTACTTATTGAAAAAGTTTACAGATATGGGGCCAATTAATGAGAAAATAAATACATATAAATATTAACTATTATGCCAGTTGGTTTATTTTATTTCAAGGGTACATTTTTTTTTCACAAGGGAAACAGGTAGCTAAACGTTTCTTTCATCAGTACTTCACCAGAAGATGATGAAGAAATGTCTGCAGAATTTCAAAAGAAAAAAGGTTGCAAAACCAGGTGTCAATACCCAGCCAAATTTGTATCCAATACTGCTGTGTAAAGAAAACATCTGGACACTCTTAGCTGTGCAAGAAATTATACACTTTTATAAAAAAAAAATCAAAGGTATATGTAACTGAAAAGTTTGGAAGCATAGGTGCCAAATGTTAACCATTGATCCTCTTTGCATAGAGGGACGGAGGATGATTGCCATTTCTTTATTCTCCTTTGAATTGCTATTTTCATTTAAAATTAGGAATTTCCTGCCCTGGCTGGTTTGGCTCGGCGGTTAGAGCGTCCAGAGAGACCCGAGGTCCAGAGAGACTGGAGGTCCAGAGAGACCCGGGTTCAGTTCCCACTAGGGGCCTCGGTTGCAGTTTGTCCTCAGCCCTGGTTGGGGTTGTGTGGGTGGCAGCCACTCGATGTGTCCCTTTCACGTAGATGTTTCTCTCTCTCTCTTCCCCCATCTCTCCTCACTCTATCTGAAGATGAATGCAAAAAAAAAAGTCCTCAGGTGAGGATGAAAAAATAATAATAATAAAATAAAATTATGGCCCTGGCCGGTTTGGCTCAGTGGTTAGAGCGTCCGCCTGCGGTCCGGAGAGACCCGGGTTTGGTTCCCACTAAGGGCATCTACCTCGGTTGCAGTTTGTCCCCGGCCCTGGTGGGTTGTGTGGGTGGCAGTCACTCGATGTGTCCCTTTCACATCGATGTTTCCCTCTCTCTCTCTTCCTCTCTCTCCCTCCCACTCTGCCTATACAAAAAATGAAAAAATGTCCTTGGATGAGGATAAAAAAAATAAAATAAAATTATGAATTTTCATGATTTCCAAAAATAAAACTATAGTATTTTTATTTTTAAAAGATATTAATGAAATGCCTTATAGCAATGTAAAAATTACATTGGTATACAATCCTAATCTCCAGAATTTATTTAATATTGCATAATATGGTAATATACCCAAGGGACACAAATCAGTTCAAATCTAACAGTTATTGAAATTGCACTCGATCTCTTAAAAATAAAGCCTAACACCTCCCTGGCCAGTTTGGCTCAGCAGTTAGGGCCTCGGCCCACAGACCAGAGAGTCCCAGTTCCTTTCCTGGTAAGTTTGTCCCTGGCCCCAGTTGGGGTCATGCAGGTGGCAACCAGTTGATGTCTCTCTCTCTCTCTCTCTCTTTCTCCCTCTCTCCCTCCTTTCTACCTGAAAATAAAAATGTCCTCTGGTGAGGATAAATAAATACATATATAAAAAATAAAGCCTATGCAAGGTAAAGTCCGCGTGCCAAAACATAACTAACGCCCTATTTAAATAAAGGGAGCATACGTATAGATTATGTTGAAGTATCTGATTTTTAAGCTCTTAAAATGTTTTAGACAAAGTTTCCTTCTTATCTGGAAATTATAGGAAATTATAGAGAGCATATGGATGTAACCTGAGCACAGTTAGGTTGAGTTTATCACCAAACCTCTGTGAAAGGAGGTTTTAAACAAGTTTCCTCAACTAGTTAACGTACAAAACAGTGATTGTAACTTGAGTCATAGAAACATCCGTGAGAGAGAACACTGACTGGCAGCCTTCTGCACGGCCCCCACTGGGGGTCAGGCCCGCAACCTGGGCATGTGCCCTGACCGGGAATCCAACTGGCGACCTCTTGGTGACACTCAACCACTGAGCCACACCAGCTGGGCGTGGGGGCATAAAGTTTATAATTGCTACTCTGAAGACCTTCACAAAGGTACTTTAAAATGTAATATTTCTCACCTGTCGTTACACACTTCTTTTGATATAAAATCAATATATTTCTCATCCTCTGTATATTCTTTTTAATGTTTCCACATAGGTCTAAAGTCCTTTCATTGTTCACTAAAATGTATCTGAGCTTATTTAAATATATTATTATGTCAATTCTCCAGTTTAAATCAAAGTTATACACCTTGAATTGCTCGATAATAATATCTATTTATTCTCTTGAAGAGAAAAAAATAGAATAGAACTGAAAAGAAAATAATGAAGAAAATAAAGATATTTGGCTATTTGGCCTTAGGGATATCTAATTTCTTTGATAGTATCTGCTGACTGCCTGCAAAATATCTTAGATGTGCCCAGCTGGAAAGTTACATTTTTCTCATCTCTTTTGTAGGGAAACAGGGTAAATCTAAAAGCAGGAGTTCTTGGGTGGGGAGTCCCGTGTTGTGATTAGACGGCGGGGTTTCCTGCGCTGAACAGCGAGGAAGCCGCTGAGGAGGCTGAAGCGGGGAGATGGGAAGAACCTAGGTCCCAGATGATTCTGTGAAACTGCCGTTTCGGCCCTGAACTGTGCACCTCTAGACTTCAACTTTAGTAGGTCACTGCTATTTCTCGACTTCCAACTAGCAGTTTCTAACTCACTTAAGAAATAATCCTAACCCTTAGTAAGTACAATATGATTATAATCCAGGCATAAAATGCTTTGGTTATTCTATTTTAATTGTGTTAGTCATTATGCACACTCATCTCAAGAGGCTTTTCTAAAAGATAACTACTGACGCATTTTCTTTCATCCTCTAAATATTTTCCGAGGAGCCGGTGGTTAGGGCCTTAGAATTCAGCAGTATGTATTTTGACCTGTATATGTTGAGTTAAATTGTTAAATAATTTTTGTTTAATCATGACTAATAAAACAATGACAATGAAAAACTAATATAATTTAAATCTTTTGAACTTACATTTTTAATTTAAGCACATAGTTAAATATGTGTGCTTTACCTAGAATGCTCCTCCTTTGAATAAAAACATGCATATATGAACATGAGAATTGCTCTACTGTTGTCAAAATACACACTGTGTAATTCTTTTACAAGATTATCTAAGCAAATATAGCCTCTGTTTTTTTTATTAAACACATATTTATTAAGGACCCTCATATAGCAAGAAATGTAAAAGGCCTCGTCTCAGACTAAGGGAATTCATGATGTTGTCTCCAAATCGTGTGATAAAGAGTATACAACAACTGTTCTACTTATAAGTTTAATTTTGTTTGCTATTATCAACTTTGCTAAGAGATGCCATTATCAATTGTATTTTATTACTTTCTACCTGGGAAAAAGTAGTAAAAACCCCAAATCTACATGAACTAAAATCTTGACAATGTGTGCTGAAGACAACGCAACAGCATTATTCATCTTCTGGAATCAGCTTGATCCAGACTCTAGTCAAGAATGCTATCAACTGGGATTTTTTTAGAACTGAAAAAACAACAACAACAACAGAAAACACCCTGCAAATATCAGTTCTTCCTACTTTAATTCAAAGCTGTGCCTGAAAACAAATCCATTAAAAAAAAGGATTAAGTAGTTTTTAAATAAATACTTAATTCTTTATTTTGAGATCTTACGAGATGTAAGTTAATTTGGAAATTTTGGCATGAAACACAACAGGAAATTCCTGTCACATAGAGACATCTAAATCATGAGATGTTTATTTTGTTTTTAAAATATAGTTCAAAATTAATATGCTCATAGGTGTTTTTTTTTTTCTTTTTAAATGTACCTTTATTGTTGAATGTATTACTGATGTCTCTCCCCCCCCCCCACTCCCTTCTCCCCACTCCTGCCCCCCTCCTGCCTTCTGCTCACAGGTGTTTTATGCTTCCTTTTCTGAAAATATTTTTCTATTCAACATATTAAGGTCAGAATCAACTTTGAAAATTGCCAGTTGGTTATTTCTACAACAGGACAAGGTCTTTGCGTGGTGTGACATCTGTCCTTTACGGTGACAATGATTTTGCTCTTCTGAGATAGGCACATGGTCACTTTGTATTAGATGAGTTTTCAATTTCAAGTGATCAAGATTGAATAGCTCACCTTTTGGCTAAAAGGCTGAGTAACACTTAACTCTGGATTTCCAGCAAATATATGAGCTATCTGCCATGGGCAAATATTAAATAGCTTCTAATGTGGAGAAAAGGCAACAGGGGGTTGGAGGCTGGGTGAGAAGGGTGAAAGGATTTAGCAAAGAAAAAAAGTCTCATGGACACAAACAATAGTACGGTGATTGCCAGAGGGAGAAAGGGGTTGGGGAAGTAAAAGAGGGTAAAGGGGAGATAAATGGTGGTGGAAGAAGACT